GTAATTCTTCCCCAAGTCGCCCTGTTTGCGGCGGGGAAACCGAAATCTGCAATCTGCCCAGAAATGGAAGTGAGGACCTCGTGAAGTCCAAAAAAGAACATCAAGAATCCACTTTCCTCTGTATGTTTTAGACTCCAGTTGTTTCTCTTTAAACTCTAACTTTGTCATAAAGATCTAACAGACCATTTGGTGCTATGGAAACCCCAGTTTACACACTGGTGCATAGCTGCAAGCAATTAACTGGCTTTAATTTTCATTTTCGGGGGATATTTTTGACTTGTGTATTAAGCAAACATTTATGCAAAACACTGTGGAATCCATAAATGTTAATTAAGTTGAACTTGTGTCTTTGCTGGAGCAGATCATCAGATTGATGGGTTTGCTGAAGTCTGCCAAACTCGCCCTGGTGGCTGGGAGCGGCTATAAAAAGACACAACTGGGTGACAACAAGGCTCTGCTCTTTGGTGTCACCCTTAGGGTGCTCGTGCTTTCACCAGGTGTGTCTTGACTTTCTCTGTGAGGGTGCTGTGGCATGTAATGAGTGCCAAAGGCCTCAGCTAGGGAAGGAGGGTGCTGATCAATACGAGGGAGCCCATCAATACTTCACCAGGCTGCAAATGCAGGGAATAATCCCCTCCTTTGTTAAAAAAAACACCTTAAATTCTCCCCAAAGCCTCAGCCCTGATCCAAACCTACCAGGTAGCTCCTGAATTTTTTGGGGGGGTTTCATATGGAATTGCAGATGGAAGGAATGTGCAAAGTGGGATGAGTTTGGATTTCTCTGTACCATTTCTTTCTGCCGCAGGATGCTGTGGCTGAGGAGTATTTTTTAATAACCAATCAGTACATTCTCATGGCTTTTATTTAGCGCGTGTGGGTGCAGGTGTGTTTAGGAAGGGGCTGAACCCCGTGGGAGAGGTGACGGATGGCTGCTGAGAAAGAAAATGACCCCTTGTTTGGATCTGAGGTGCCAAATCCCGCTGTGAAGCGGGCTCAGCTCTTGAATTCCTGCTGCCGGGAAGCTGGGCTGGAAGCAGACACGTGCGCGAAGCACGGCAGCGGTGCGTGACAACTGTTTCTTCCTTCTCCCCCTTTTGCATGATAAAATAACCCATGAAAATAAATAACAAGAGCTTAATAGGCACATGGGACAGGGCCTTTGGCAGCGATGCCAATCAGCTGTGTCTCGGTAACGCTCCACTAATTAAAAACTGCAAATTACAGCCGTCTGGAGCTGATTGCAAGGGCTGGCTGGGTTGGGGGCTTTGCTTTGGGAGGTGAAGAAGGGCTGGTTGCTCTTCATATTGATGTTTTCTCTCCCATCAGGTGTGGTGAGGCTTTGGATAAGCCGAAGGTTGTGCTGTCCTGGTGTCTGTCCCAGTGGAGCACTGGGATTTGGCAAGTCCAAACCAGTGAGTGGATCCCAGCATGTTTTCTCCATGTTGCAGCCAGTGGAATAGGTAGAAATGCCAGCGCTGATCCACAGCCCTCAAGTCTTCTGCCTGCTTCAGCTCTGGGCAGAGAAGGTAAGTCCTGCCTGTGCTTGAGGAGACATTCCAGCCTTTCCCATGCTTTGGAAATTGGTGACATGCAGCTGGTCCCAACTTTGTGGAGTTTTGTGGGCCGTGCTTTTTCTTGCTGTGATTTTGAAATTTCAGAGCACACCCCTCACACCAAAGGTCCCCCAAACCCACCGATTACCATTCTCCCCTCTTTCCACCTTTGTAATGTTTCACCACTTCTCCTCCCACTCCCACCAAACCGCCAGTTGCCACCTCTTATTGCACGCTCGTTAATTGGCTGCAACATGATTCACAAAAGAAACATTTATTTATGAAAATCCATTCGGACAAACCCGACGATCAGAGAGAGACTGCTTTGGGGAGGAGGGTTGGATTTTTTTCTCTGTAGAGGTGCTACTATGGGAAGAACTTCCCCCAAAGCTCCTCTCAGCCACCCCCCACACCAAATACCAAGCCCCAGGCGTACGGCACAGCCCATCTCGTCCCCTCGGTCCCCTCCTGGCCCCGGCTGTATCACGTTGCACAGAAGCAGGAGCCTTTTTGTCTGGGGTGGAAAGTTGAAGGGCAGGGACACCCGAGTGTCATCTCTCACCCTCAGCTGCTCTTGGGACTCACTGTCCCTTCTCTGGGGTGTGGCGACCACTGCGTTTAACTGATGAGTGTGATTTAGCTTCCAGCAGAGATGGGTGGGTTTTTTTGGTGGATATACCACAGAAAAAGGGACTATTTGTGTATTAAACTTTGCATTATAATTGCTGTATTAATTATTCATCTGGAGACGTGTTTTTTTTGGGCAGGATGATGCATTCAGTAGATTAGAAATAGATTCTGGAAGCTTGAGAGGTGTTGTTTATTTATTATTATTTTAATTATTGTTATTATTTTAATAGTAGTTGGAATTAGGAGCTCTTGGGTGGGCACTTTGGTTGTGTGGTCTCTCAGGAGGGCTCTGGCTGGGACACAGCGAGATAAATGGTTACACGTGAAATGGGGTGTAAATGTTGTATTTTGGAGCAATAGAGCAGACCTCGAGGTGTGTATGGAGACAGGGATTTGCTGCTCCACACTCCTGCTGAAAGCTGGGTGAAAAGAGCGATTTCTGAGTGCCAGGAAGCAAACCTGGGCTTCTGTCAGTCCCTTGGGAGTCAGGAGGTGGCTTCAGGCTGGGATTTGGGTTTTGGAGCTCCCTTCTGCAATGGTTTTGGCTTGGAGTGTGTTGTAATTGGGCTTGGGCAGGTCCCCTTAGTGATGGGGGGAGTTATCCGTGTTCCTCCAAGGAGGAGATGTGTGCAGACCTGCTGAGCGATTCTCTCCACATGCTATTATTTTTGCATTTCAGAGAGGCAGGAAAGAGATAAAGAAACTGTCTCGCTTTGCAATTGAATTTCTAATCAGAGATCTGCAAGCAAACCAGGGAAACAGGCTTAATAAACCTGAAAAAAGCCTCTGTATTACAACTGACCTGTTTGGAAGGAGAGCTGGAAATAGCGCAGAGACTGGGCTCACCGTGCGGTTTGATGCCCCAACCCCAAGCCTGGGCCAGGGATGTCTTGGTTTAGGCTTTTCAGTCTTTAAAAGGAGACTTCTCTGTGGCTTTTGCATGCACAGAGCACCCCAGGGTTAGTGAAAACAGCTAAATTTTGCCTGATGAATGTCATACATGTGGACATGGACCTGACCCAAACATCCCACCTAGATCCTAAATGTGAAAAGAACCTCATTTCTGTTCCTGCCTCCCCTGATAAAATAACTTGGCACTTGGAGGGGACAGGGGGGAAGGAAAACCTGGGTTTGGGCATTTTGTACCCATTTACACAGAACATTTTGGTTTTCCTGCATGGGGTCTCCATCTGTTGAACGATCCCTTGAGACATTCCCATCAGCTTGGGTGTCCCAGGCAGGCTCTGTTTGTAACAGGTGGGAATTTTTCCCACTTGATTTCAAGAGATAAGTTTTCCACAAGATGCACAAGAAGCATTTTGGGCTGTAAACTGTCAGCTTGAATCGAAGTCTTCCTGCATGCCCTTGGGCTTATCCCACGTTTCAGGCTAAGCATGGCTTGTGAGAAGACAGTTGTCATTTCTCTGCACATCTCATGATCACAGCATCCTTGGGGCATAAAACACGGAGGACAAAAGGGCAGCTTGGTTATATATATATATATATACACACACACATATATCTTTTTTTTTTTTAAATTATTTTCTTTTTTTTTTTTTTTTTTTAAGAAAAATGCTGATTTCTGTAGGCTCACAACTTGACACTCTTGTGCGTGAGGGGCGTATGGAGCAGATTCCTGCTTGCCTGATTCAGCTCTCCAGACCATTTTGAGATATTTGGTTTTCATTTCAGTTTGGAGTTTGGGTTGGCAGCTGGGAGTAAATCAGAATTTGGCTCTGGTTTGTAGCACCTTCTCGTGTATTGGCAGCACAGCTCCTGTGGAGTCGGGGGGGAAAAGTTTCTGAGTCCAACCCTTGGGTTAAAACCCTTGGCATCATCCATTCCTTCAATCCCTCCTGCATGGGGCTGATGGGTTTTTGTGCAAACCCAAGTCCCCAGGCAGCCTCCTGCCAGTCCCCCTTCTCCACACCGCAGGGTTGCGGGAGGCAGCAGCAAGGGAATATGTCTTAAGGCGACAAGAATGGCAAGAAATGGAAGTTTAAGCAGGAAAAAAACAGCGTATTCCAGCGTGTGTGTGAAGCACGTGGCAGTTTGTAACGTCGGGAAGAGCGTGGAAGTGGGTGGAAGAGCTGCTCCTCCCTGATGGCACTTGGCAGGATTTTGGGTAAAAATGAAGATGAACATTCTTGTCAATCCGTTTTTTGCAGCCGTTTAGTTGCTCTTGGATCCATCTCTTTGCCCGTTCATTTAATTTCTGCTGGAGTCATTATTTAAGTATGTGTATTTTTATCTCCGAGAACCATCATGGCTGGGGATTTATTGATGACTGGATCTTCCAACAGCCAGTTTGGAGGCTGAAAAGTTGAAAAGCTCCAAAAGTCCTCTCTGCTTTCCTTCCAGAAATTGCTGTCTGCTCAGCAGGGCCTGATGTTCCGCTGCTTTAAAATTAATGAGTAGTTTCCTTGCCCTGTGCAAATCTGTCAGGCATCTCTCCAGCATTTCTGTCTTGCAGTGAATCCATTTTAGGAGTCTCATTTCTACCCCAAAAGGGAGAGATTGGACCAGCAACAAGGAAGAGTCGATACAATTACCCCTGAAATGTCCCCAGACTTGTGGGTTTGTTCCCAACAAGCCAAGTTTGCCCACTTCTCATTTTATTTACTTGTTTTTTTCCCCTTTGAGTGTATGTTCATATATTTGTTGACCAAAGGAGCCCTTGGTATGAACAGCCCCAGTGGAAATTATCCATCATAACAAGCTAAAATATTAGAGATATCCATGTACACATCATAATCTTAATGTTTTATGCAAAAGACGGGGGGATTAAAAGGAAAAAAACCCCACATTTCCCTGGTTTTTTTTTTTTCCCCTTTGAGTGTATGTTCATACATTTGTTGACCAAAGGAGCCCTTGGTATGAACAGCCCCAGTGGAAATTATCCATCATAACAAGCTAAAATATTAGAGATATCCATGTACACATCATAATCTTAATGTTTTATGCAAAAGACAGGGGGATTAAAAGGAAAAAAACCCCACATTTCCCTGATTAAAACAAGTTCCAGAAAGTGGAAGCGAATCATTTCAAACCTCCTTCGAGTTAAAAATGTCTGCAAAATTCTTGTTTCCTTTGAAACCTTGTATACTGCAAAACTTTGTTTTTCTGATGAAAACCTACTGTGCCCCTTTCTGGGCAGCTCTGGACACTTCCAGATTGTGAAAAACATCTCAGTACGGTCAGTCTCATCTTCTCCAGACCCCCACAAGCTTCCAAAATTTATCCAAGAGCCGTCACCTCGGGCCTTTTAGGAAATCACAGTGATTACTTTTGGCACATACGGTTGATTAACAGCAACCAAAGGCTGGCTCAGCTCGGAAATCCTTTTCGAGAGCCCTGTTTTGGTGAGCTGTGATGTGGAGTGGCAACAGAAGACCATGGTGCAGGCTGATATGGGTGCTGGAGGTGAGTGGAGACTGTGGAGAAATGCCTGGATCTGAGTTGAAGCATCTGGTGGTGCCCCATGGTACATGCAGGCTCCTGAAGTTGAAAACAGCATTTTTGACTTGAATACCCCTCTGGATATTCAACTGGGAGTGACAGGGAGGATGAAATTAAAGATGGGAGGAGGAAAGGACCAGACTGGTTCATTTTCTTGTGGGGTGGGATGCACTGGGGGATCCCTGCTGCCTTGCAGAGAGCAGGGAAGCGCCTGCCAACGTTGTAGTGATGGTTCAGGAGAAAAATCCAGCTCTGTCCCATTTCTGCACCCTCTCCACCCCCCTGGTACGTGGTGGGTTGGACAGGCAGTGAGCAAGGTGGAGACCAGCCAAACCTCTCTTGTGTTTGGACACGAGCCACGGTGGAGCACATGCTAATCCAAAGCTTTTGTTCTCGGGCTCACCCAAGGATGGGGAGAGAAGGTCACAGCAAGTGATGGTAAAACAGCACAGAAAAAAGCTGGCACGTCACAAACCAGGGTGATGACGCTGGGTGGATTGAGCGCCAGAGCATCTCAGTGAGGGAAAGGGGATGTTGGGACCCTTGTGAGCGGCCCAGGGAGCCACTTAGGTGAGGGTGTTGGAGTAGAAGCTGAAGCTTTCGGAGACGGTTTTGGAGTCGCTGTGGGAGGAACCGTTGGAGGTCATGTCTACGGAGAGACGCTTGGCCTTGCTGCTCTCCTCCAGCTCCTCTTCGGCTGTGCCAACCGCCGAGGACACGGTGGTCTCGATCCGGCTGACCTTGTACATGCTGTTCTGTGTCTGCAGGTACCTGGCTGACTTCATTTCCAGACCCTCGTACTCCCCGGCGCTGACAAATGGGCACCACCGAAAGGCGTGTTTGAACCCCACGCGAAACCTGGGGGGACAGGAGAGTTAGGGAAAGGCAGGGGTGAGGGACATGGAGACAGCACAAGGACCTCGCTATGAGTGGGAAGACAGTGCTAAGCACTGCTAAACACCAAACACCAAGAAATGCTACTTTTCACTAAGAGGAGGAAAAAAACACTGATAAATCCCACTTGGAAGTTAGGACTGTTTTGATACAATGAGGGGCCTGGAGAACAAGTCCTATGAGGAGAGGCTGAGGGAACTGGGCATGTTGAATTTGGAGAAGAGGAGGCTGAGGGGAGACCTCATTGCCCTCTACAACTCCCTGAAAGGAGGTTGTAGAGAGGCAGGTGTTGGCCTCTTCTCCCAAAGGACGAACGACAAGACCAGAGGAAATGGTCTGAAGTTGGGGCAGGGGAGATTTAGATTAGATATTAGAAAGAATTACTTTACTGAGAGGGTGGTCGGGCACTGGAACAGCCTGCCCAGGGAGGTGGTGGAGTCACCATCCCTGGAGGGATTTAAGAAACTTGTAGACATGGCTCTTCAGGGCATGCTCTAGTGCCCAAGGTTATTGGTTTATGGCGAGGTGTTGAGTGTGGGGTTTAGTTGGTGGGTGCGGTGTTTTTGGTGGGCATTTGGTGTGGTGTGTTTTGTATTTGTTTGGTTGTGTGGTTTTGTTTTGTTTTGTTTTTTTGTGGTTGGACTCGATGATCTCAGAGGTCCCTTCCAACCACTAAGATTCTGTGATTCTGTGATACTTGCCCTCAATCAGGGGCTTTAGGAAAGGTTATTTAGGTGAGTGTTGTACCATCCCTACATCTGCTGGAAGCAGCCCCTGAGAGAACCATCCAGGAAAAATTCTTCATCCATACTCTCCTCTATCGGATCCCTCTGTGTCTCCCCCTTCTCCCCACCCTGTTGCACCGAGATGCTGCCAAAAGTTACTCGAAACCCACCTGTCGTTGAGGCAGCAGTAGATGATGGGGTTGTACATGGTGGAGCTCATGGCCAGCCACATGATAGCCAGGTAGACCTGCTGGATGAACTTCTGCAGGTACCAGTCGGGGTTGAAGTGCTGCAGGGTGAAGTAGATGTGGTAGGGCAACCAGCACAGCGCGAACGTACACACCACGATGATCATCATCTTCACTACCTGTGAGGAGAAGAGAGGGCAGGCAAGCAAAGTCATCCATTGGACACCCCACAGGTAGGGTGTCATCCTCCAGAAGGGGTCAGCGCTTTTTGCCTTGGAGACCTTTCTAACCAGGAACACATGGTCAACACCTTGGTTTACATGCACATTCATGGAGGACACATCTGGAGGACCTTCCATGCTCCACAACTATGCAGCAAGTTCTGACCTATTTCCTCCGTGGTGGACTTCTGGCCATGGTCAGTAGGGATTGGGCATGAATGATGGCTCCTACTGTGCCTGAAGCTCCTTACCTTCCGCTTAGCCGAGACCTGCTCATGGTAGCGGTCGGAGGAGTCGCCGGGTATCTCGCTCGCCCAGAGGGTGATGCCCACCACAGTGTAGGCACATCCTATCACCAAAAGCGGCAAGAAATAGATCAGGATGGTCATGCACAAGTGATACCTGGAAAAAAAATGGTGGTTGTTGAGTGTGTCCTCTACTTTGTTAAGCCAGGGGACATTTAGATTGGCTATTAAGAAAAATTTCTTCACTGAAAGGGTTGTCAAACACTGGAAGACGCTACCCAGGGCAGTGGTGGAGGCACCATCCCTGGAGATATTTAAAAGCCGGGCAGATGTCATGCTGAGGGACATGGGTTAGTGGTGGCTTGGGCAGCACTGGGTTGATGTTGGACTCCATGATCTGAAAGGTCCCTTCCAACCTAAATAATTCTATGGTTCTATTCAGTCTTGTTCTTGCAAACTGAATTTGAAGGCAAAGTGCTTCACAGGGACAAAGAGAATTTGGCACAATTGCTGCAGACACGTTGCCTGCAGACCTCAGGTTGGGAAGACTCCCTACTTTCACCCCACATTTTTCCAAGCCTCTGCTGCCTGCTTTTGGCATCCTGGCACCCTCCTGGGGTGGGATGTAGAGAATCATAGAGTCATGAATTGGAAGGGACCTTAAAGATCATCTAGTTCCATGCCCCTGCCCTGGGCAGGGACACCTCCCACCACACCAGGTTGCTCCAAGCCCCCTCCAACCTGCCCTTGAACCCCTCCAGGGATGGGGCAGCCCCAACTAGAGGCCGGTGCAGAACTTGTGGTACCTTCCTAAGGCAAGGATGTTCTAGCTGAAGTGTCTCTAATCTCACTCCTACTCTATTTACACCCCAAATTCCCCTAGAGATGAATGCTTTCCCTTATCCCACCTTCTATCCGGGAGTCCTGCAGAAGCAAATTTTTTTTTTTT